TGAAATTGAACTGAAACTGAAACTTCCCCACCCCCACCCCCCCCTCCTCCTGGTGGTAGTAGTAGTAGTAGTAGTAGTAGCAGTAGTAGTAGTAGTAGTAGTAGTAGTAGTAGTACTAGTACCAGTAGTAGTAGTAGTAGTAGCAGCAGCAGCAGCAGCAGTAGTAGTGGTAGTAGTAGTAGTAGTAGTGGTAGCAGGAGTAGTAGCAGTAGTAGCAGTAGTAGCAGTAGTAGTAGTAGTAGTAGTAGTAGTAGTGGTAGTGGTAGTGGTAGCGGTAGCGGTAGTGGTAGTGGCAGTGGTAGTAGTAATAGTACTTACTAGTAGCTGTTGTTGTTGTTGTTGTTGCTGCTGCCGTTGTTGTTGTTGTTGCTGCTGCGGTTGCTGCAAATAACACTGTAGCTGTTCCTTTTTGTTGCTGTTGTTTGTGGTGGTGGTGTTGTTGTTGTTGTCGGTGTCGTAGTCGTTGTCGTTACGGTTGTTGTTCTTGTTGCTGTTGTTGTATTATAATTGTGGTTGTGGTTGTTGTTGCTCTTATTGTTGGTACTGTTGCTTTTGCTTTTGCTGTTGCTGTTGCTGTTGCTCTTGCTGTTGCTGTTGTTGTTGTTGTTGCTACTGTTGCTGTTGCTGTTGCTGTTGTTGTTGTTGCTGCTGCTGCTGCTGTTGCTGTTGCTGTTGCTGTTGCTGTTGCTTTTGCTTTTGCTTTCGCTGTCGCTGTCGCTGTTGCTGTTGGTGTTGTTGTTGTTGTGGTTGTCGTTGTGGTTGTTGCTGTTGTTGTTGTCGTGGTTGTTGTTGTTGGTGGTGGTGGTGGTGGTGGTGGTGGCGGTGGTGGTGGTGGTGGTGGTGTTGGTGTTGGTGTTGGTGGTGGTGGTGGTGGTGTCTCATTTGCTCTGGGGTTTAGAGTTTTTTTAACCTGGGGTCTGGAATTTAGGGCTGAGCATTATTGTTGTTGTTGTTGTTGCTATTGTCGTTGTTGTTGGTGTCGTTGTTGCTGTTGGTGCTGGTGGTAATGGCTGTGTAACGGATCCCACGCTTTTCGCCTTGCCAGGCCAGGAAAACCCTGGCCCTGCCGACAAACTCGG